CACGAGCCACCCACACAGAGAGTGGCAAGTACTCCGATGTGAAGTTTGCCTTCGCAATTTCAATCTGTCTCTCTTGCAAGGTGATTGTCAAGCATGCCCTGATGGATCCATAATCAAGTCGTCCTTGTTTTTGGATGATGTTTTGGCACTGCTTCCAAAAACCGACTTGCTGTTCCGGACTCAATCCACTGAAAGCTGGGAGAGGCCATTTTCCGAGGTTCCTGCTGAGCATTGTGGTCGCAGAATTGCAACCTTTGCAAACCGCATTGACACGGCCTTCAGCTTTGCTCTTGTTGACGAGGTTCTCAAGAGTGCAAGGCATAAGGCACTTTCTGCAAGTTGGGGCCTTCAGAGTCTGGTCCACAGTGTGCCAGATAGGGTCAGCTGCAATGGCAGGCGCAATTGGATCAGGAACAGCTGAAGTTGCTTCTGACAAACTTTCATCGGCCATGAACTGCGCCAGAGCAGCCTCAGCACTTGATGCAGCATCCATGTCCACTGGCACAACGGCTTCCGCAGTTTCTGGTGTAACGTTTTCTTCTTTCTTCTGATCATCCGACTTGCCATCCTGTTGCTTCTGGTCATCGTTCTTTTCATCTTTGATCTCAGCATTTTCACCGGATGGCTTTGGATCTTGTGGATCTTTTGCCAAGTCCTGTTCCTGGAGCTGCTTGGGCAGTTCGGAAGAACCATCCGCCATGCTAAGCTACAGGTGCGCAAAGTAGGAAATTCTCTATCCGTAGATTTTCCTCAAAGCCAAAGTTCTAGCAACATTCTTTACATATCTGCTGTTTTTGTACTTTTTACAATTTTTTACCACTTTAACATTCATGAACGAAAATTCGACGTATCAGGACGTATCAGGATGTATCAGGATGTATCGGCCTAGTTTTTTTAACCAAAAATCTCACCCGATACATCCTGATACATTGAGATACGTCCCGATACATCCTGATACGTGCGAAAATTCGACGTATCAGGACGTATCAGGATGTATCAGGATGTATCGGGATGTATCGGCCTAGTTTTTTTAACCAAAAATCTCACCCGATACATCCTGATACATTGAGATACGTCCCGATACATCCTGATACGTGGTGTTTTTTGTTTTTTTGGGGTTTTCTATCCATATTATTTGCTTATTTTTTTTGACCAAAAATCATACCCGATACATCCTGATACATTGGGATACGTCCCGATACATCCTGATACGTAGTGTTTTTTGTCTTTGTTTGCGTTTTCTTTCCATATTTCATGAATTCATTTTCTGATAAGAATGTGTTTCAAATATCGATAAATACTTACATATGTAAATAAATTTCTATATATATATATGTGTGTATTTCTATTTGCACGGAACATGTTTGTTTTCTCAGCACCCTGCAAGCACATGAGAACAGCAATCTAGGAACATCCAACGCCCATTTCAAATGTATCTGTATACATAATGTAAATCTTTCAGCATCTGATATGGACATAGCAGCTGCAAGTACACATTTGAGCGTCCCGAAGGCCGCTTTTGTTTTCCAATGGCAATTTAATTAACAGGGCATAGCGTCACTGGAATGCATCTGCAAGTGACACGCTCAATTAGCAAACAATGCACTTACGTTCAATTCTTTGGTTTGATGTGACACATATTTTAACTTCTGTGCAAAATGTTTCAGTCACCCAAGGCGTGCATAGCAGAGTCTAGGTCACTGAGCAATTTCTCTAAATCACAGCGCACGTCTTCATACTCATGCCAAAACAAGAAGCAGCGCAGCTTTGCTGCAACCTGGGGCAACTCAAAGCGAAGGAGTCTTGCTCGAGGATGCCCACGGATTCGATCTAATGAAGTAGAGCCCAGGGTGGGAACCAGGCTGGCAAATGTCATGTCCTCGAAATCTGAAAGAGGAACATTGCACTTCAGAGCCATTGATGCTCTTGCGCAGCTGACGATGAAAGGTTTCCAGGTATCGAAGTGGAGGTGTGCAGGGTCAAGGGCCTCTAAAAGAGAGCGACCTGCTTCTCTCATGAGTTCACATTCTTCATCATCAACTCGGGGATCATCAAACAGTAGCTGCATCATTGGACTTGCCATCACGTAGCCGAATCCAAAGGGAACGCACCGTGACTTGAACCACTGATGAAATCATTTGATAGCGTTGTGAGTGGTTTGCTTGGAAAACATTGGCATGGAGGATGTGAACCACATATTCCCATATGATGCTAAATTGACAAAGTAACATGATACTGCTTTACATGGTACACAATCTTTCAACCCATAAGCACCATGCGCCAAATATGGGATATGAGTTTTAATATCAACTAAACATATGATATAACTACAAAACGGACCCAGTTCTCGGTTCCCAACAAGGTACCCAGAAACATTTTTTTCTTCTTGGCGTCAGCAAGAAACAATGATTCTCTGGGATTTCGACCACCAAAAGAAGGGCCACAACAGCTGTTCGGCATGGGTGGCCAAATTCACAAGAGACCTCGACACAGAGGGTTGCCATTGACTCAAATGCCAGGGGTCCAGGTCCGCAGAAACTGAATCAGAGCGAACCAGAAGCTCTAACATAAGAAAACGTTGAGAGGAGCCCGACCATTCTGCTGCCACACAACAGATGACCCTGCCCGCTTTGCGCACATCATGCGTGAAAAGACAAATGTCGTCCTTGTGAAATGTCTGCTCGTTAAATCGCATGGACCTGCTTAGCCACGCAGTCTGACAACCAAGTTGATTTGCTAAGTCCTGATCATGAGCATAAGGCGTGCATGATGGATCCTGGTCCATGTCGGAGAGTTGCTCTTCTTGTGTCATGAGCAGTTTTCCCAGCATAGAAGATTCGAAGCTGTCATTCATAGGAAAGTTTTGGGCAGTGTTCTTGTAGATACGATGTTTTCTTTCTAATGTCCAACAGTCAAGAACCGCTTCTTGGATATCCATGGATTCTGCGCAATGAAAATTAAAATGGTGCTTTGGACGAACCAAGGAGCGACCATACACTGATTGAAACAACACCAGGTGTTCAGAGAACAATGGGAACATGCGTGCACTGGGCGCGATAATGCCTTTGCACTTGCCACTTTTCAATCGGAAATACCATCTGCACACCCAGCACAGTTTGGTTAGACAGGCAATATGCCGCTTCAGTGACACCACTGAATCTAACAGATTGGTAGCAAATGTCTCAAGCAAGAATAAAGCTAGCACTGCATAGCCTGCATCACCACCATATGTTGATTTATCCAAATACTTCGCGTCAAAAACCTTGTTCAATTTGTACTCTCCAATGCTCTGTTTCAATGTGAAGCCACCTTCCTTGCAAAACTGTTGCAAATCTTCAATGGTCAAGTTTGTCTCGGCACAAACGCGTTTCCAAAATAAACAGATTTCATCACAAACAATACCGTTGCTGAAGAGAGTGTGTAAAAAATCGTAGTGGCATTTGCTCGGTGGAAGCACATCACGCAGCAGTGGATCAGCAAGCAGTCCCTTAGGGGAATGCAGAAAACCACAGATTTGTTCTTGTCTTTTTAGTTCCGAAGCAGTGCCTGACTCGTACGTTTCCTGCAGCTGTCTTTGTACATCAAAAATTTGCTGGTCAGTGAATTGCAAAAAGTTCTGGTACGTTGCGCAAGTGACGTCAATGATGCACTCATCCCCGTGAATATCCCATGTTCCACCATGAAATTTGGATATTACGTTGTAGCATTTTGCACAAGGCTTCATGCCTGATGCGCCTTTTGATTGTAGCACACTGCGCAAGGCGGCCTCGTCTGCCACAAAGGCATGCAAGGCAAAACGCACAAGATAGTGCGCGCCATCAATTTCCAAAGAGAAACCTGCTTTGTTCAAAATGCCGTAGCTTGAGTTGACCCAATGGTTAAGCACCTTCGCAAAAATTGCGCTCATGCCTCCTTCTACCAAAGTGGCCTTTTCATGAGTGATCAGGCCCGCAACAAGCCAAAACAGTTCCATTGATAACTTCTTCTTGAATTCCAAAGCGGTCACATAGATCATGTTGCTTTTCCTGCAATGTTGAAATGTTTTTTAAACATATTTTACTCAGTTGCATGTAGACTGATTGAACTAGACTGACATGACATTCCCTGCAAGACTTACCCTAAAATATTAAAGCTAGTCCAAGCATCTTAGATGCAATAGGGTTCAAAGGGTTCCCACTAACAGTTTCGTCACAGTAGAGAACCATCTGCAAAGGATTCGTTGTACTCTGGATCGCCTCCAGCATTGTCTTGGAAAAAGCAGGTGATCGACGGCAATAATTTTGGAGGAGGCTTTGCAACTTTGTTAACCAGACCTTCTGCTCATCGCAAGAAATACATTCTAAATATTCAGACCGATATTTCTTGGACACAGTCGCACAAGCGTTCTGCACATATTTCACTTTTTTCTTCTTGTCAGAAATTTCCGGGAAATGCCCCAATGTATGTGCCACTTCTGCTGCTTGCGTCACAGAGCAGTTTGGCAAAGCAGCCAGTCGCAGCGCTTGTCCATCCGTCAACCTACTGCATTCCTTGGTATCACCTTTACGCTTCGACATGGCATGTGAAACCTTCCAGTCTGCGAAACTAAGCAGTTGACTCTCATGACTCATGAGTGACTTCCTAATCTGCATTGACTGTCACCGCACTGTTCCTGCCTTGATTTTGTGTAGCAAACACTATGCAGCACATCTGGATCTGATCCTGTTTTGCACTGAGCGGTATACAGAATCACTGAGAATGTAACAATATCCCACATGGTCCAACAACAAGAACATACCAAGGACATACTTACATATTTTGCGTCGGCATGTTGTTGAAAGATTTGCGAACATTGATTTGATACAAAACAGTAATCAATATTAAGTGATGAAATTACACGATATCGGTGGAAATCCGTTTTGAAAAAACACTGCCTTGATCACCTCAAGCAGAGCGTCCCGAAGGCCGCTTTTTTTTGTTGCTCCGTGCCAGAAAGCGCTGGTAATGATCCTAAAGACAAGTCATGGCCATTCGCCACGGTAACGAAAACATGATGGAGTGCAACCCGGCTGCCATCGGCACTTGGAGCAGCCGTGCGGGTACCTCTTTAAGGCATCCGGAGGCTTGCTGTCTTTGGCTCTTTCATGGGCTTTCGATGATTTCATCACAGCTTTGCCGCTCTTCATTGCATTGCCCTTGGCGGCTGCTGCCGGACGTTTCAGCCCAGAGCCAGACGCAGAGGGTCTCTTCATGCAGGCAGCTGCCTTTCCATCAACCTTTGCCCGCAGCCCGTTCATCACATTCTCGAACGCACTGGGATCCTGCAAAAACTGGAATGCACAAATGTCAACAACTGTTCGGGCTCCAACATGATCAATTTTTTCATGATATACACAAACAATCCAATATAAACAGACGAGTGATGATACTGGATAGAATATATTATTTGTTGCTCTCTTTCTCTCTCTCTCTCTTTTTCTTTGTGTCTCACATCTATATTTATTGATTAAACACATATGCATATAATATATCACACTGTGAATATAATATATCACACTGTGAATATCTCAATCAATGTTTGTCAACTTGTGAAACAAACAGTGCGCAATAATGTTTGTATATGCAATGCTGCGTTGATGTTGCTTGCACAGTAGAAAATATGCAACTCATTTCAGTTATTTCGACAATGATGCCCAATCCGTCCTTGCCACCGACTTTCACGGTCGCTTCCTGATTGGTCGCCGCTTGGGATGCGGCCTGAAAATCCTCAGCTAGCGCTGCAGCCTGACTTGGCTGAGGAGCTTGGGCTAGCAATGCTGCAGCCTCCACTGGCGCAGCAGCCTGACTTGGCTGAGGAACTTGGGCTGATGCTGCAGGCTGGGCTGGTGCAGCAGCCTGACTTGGCTGAGGAACTTGGCCTGACGCTGCAGGCTGGGCTGGCACTGTAGCCTGAAGTGGTGCTGCAACCTGAGGTGCATCCAGCAGCGCAAGTTGACCAACGGCAGCGCTACCAGCAGGACAGGACTTCTTCGAAAACGAGCCACGTCTCTGCAGAACATCCATGTTGATCTGAAGATTCGGCAGTGCAGGCTGTTGGGCTGCCTGCGCTTGTCGAAACACATTTGCCATGTATGCGTGGCTGACACCCATGTCGACCGTTGGAAAACTGACAGAGGCAGGCATTCTCTCACGAATGGTGGAATGGATGTAGTTGAGCTTCGCCACATCCACTTGGCATTGCACCGGCTGTTCATCTTGGAAAGCCTCATTGAAGAAACTTCGAGGCATCTGCATGGGGTCATGGGGCAATTCAACGATGAAGGGCTGACCTGCAAGAGGAAGCGCCGCCAACTCCTTTTTGAGCTGCGCCTTCACGAGCTCAAACATGTGGTGGAGTTGCTGCTGGTCCATCGCTTCAGCAACGCGATACAGCAGCAAAGCAGTCACCTTGCTGATGGTCTTCTCACCAGGCAACCTCAAACCTAGCTTGCCCAAGTGACGAGCCAACGGTAACAAGGCATTCTGAAGCGGATTGTCCCCAAGCACAAGGAGCCACAACGAATTGGTCAGGTAGCAAGGGAAGTTCTGGTAGTTCTGATTCGGCCTTCTCAAGGGCTTCGCAGATTCGGCCGTCACCACGACTTTCTGGCTGACATCCAGCTGCAGCTGGCTCAACTGCTCAGGCAGGAAAGGAACATCTGTCAAGTAGCTCACCACTTCCGACATTGTCTCCATGGACATACGAGGCCACTGCTGGATCTTCAGCCTGCAGTTCTCATACTGCTCATCTCGCAACGTCGGGAAGTTCACATGGTTGGCCATGGCGAGCAAGAAGCGCTGCACAGCTGACAGGAACTTAACCTGCTCAGACATGATGCGTCACCACTACCAGGCAGAACTTACAAGGACCAAAACTGCACAACCAGAATTGCGCAAATGGAAAGACTGAGAACTTGCTTCTCTGCACAGTGTGCACAGATGCAACATTCACACCGCAAAAAGCAAGAGGACAAAACAGAGCGTCCCGTGGGCCGCTTCAACACGAACCCAAAACTCCCACACATACACACTCCAAAGCACGAAAGACAATGGCAATGAAACATCCGATTTTGCAGGTAGAAAATCACAGAAAACCAGAAAGAAAAAAAACAACAGAAAATCAGAGAGAAAAACAACAGAAAATAAGTAGAAATAAGTAGAAAATAAGTAAAAATAAGTAGCAAATAAGTAAAAAATAAGTAGAAACAAGTAAAAAATAAGTAGAAATAAGTAGAAAATAAGTAGGTCGTTTTAGCCTTAACATAAGTAGCTTAAGTAGCTAAGTTACTTCTAAGTTCAACAGGTAGGAGCCTTGAACTTATCATACTTATAAGTTAGGAGGCCCTACTTAAACAACTTATCGAACTACAAGTGCAACTTAAGGAACTACAAGTGCAACTTCATGTTACTTAAAATAGCTCAGCTAGCCTCAAGTACAAGAAGTCACAAAGCAATATCAAAAAGGCAGCAATTCCGCGAGACTTCCTCAATGTTTGAACTTGACAGCGTCAGAAACGAAGCAATTCTGGGAGACTTCCTTCAAAAATGGAAAGTTGTGTGCAGCGCTGACGGCCTCGTACCAATGCGTTTTGCAATTTTTCAAATCCATTTGTCTAAACTACTGCGCCTGCCACGAAAAAATGATGCCAGGTCATACGAAGTGCTGCACTTGTCACGCACAATCATCTCAGCAAACCTGAAGATCTGATGCTCCAAAATGCAACCCCTCTCAGGAAATCAGCGCCCGGACCTCCTAACAGCTTTGATGAACATGTCTCTTGTACTGCGCCTGCCACGGAAAATGCATCTTTGCAGATCCTCTTCACATGTCCCACGCCTGCCATCGTTTTTTGGAAATGCTACAAAACCCTCACATTTTGCTCACTTTTGACAAGGTCCACAATCCCTTGCGCCTGCCACGCCAAACGACATCTGAACGTCCAAAAAAGTGGTCCGAACCCCTTGTTTTTCACATTTTAACTTCGAAATATGCTTCATGCCACAATGGTGTGTACTTTTTCAAAAGCCCAACTTTAAAAGTGCTCCGAAGCTTGTGTTTCATACATTTTGATCTCGAAATGTGTTTCGCGCCACAACGGCGTGCACTTTTTCAATAGCTCAACTTCCAAAAGTGGTCCGAACCTGGTGTTCTTTGTACATTTTGACTTCGAAATGTGCTTCGCGCCACAACGGCGCACACTTTTTCGACATCTCAACTCCCAAAAGTGGTCCGGAGCTGGTGTTTTTAACATTTTGACTACGAAATGTGCTTCGCGCCACAACGGCGTGCACTTTTCGACATTTTCCAAAAGTGGTCCGAACGTGAGGTGTTTTTAGCTTTTTCACTTGCAAATGTGCTTCGCACCACAACGGCGTGCAATTTTTCATCTCTCATCTGGCCAGATGGCTCCGCACCCGCTGCTTTAGCGAGCCTACTTTTCGACCCTCCGGAGCCACAAATCATTGGAAAAACACAGTGTTTCGCGACTTTCCTACCTTGTCGCGCACCTGCATCTTCTTTCTTCTGACTCTTTCTCTTCTCTGATCTTCTCTCTTCTGCTCGTCTCTCTTCTACTCTTCTCTTCCCTCTGACTCTTCCCATCTCTGCTTTTCATCTGTCCATATTGTCGGAAGTTTGACTTCTAAAATTCCTTCGATCAATAAAAACATTACTTCTTGCTCAATAGCTGCTAAAATGCTGCTACATAGCTGCCAAATTGTTACTAAATAGCTGCTAAATAGCTGCTCAATAGCTGCTAAATAGCTATTCAATAGCTACAGAGCTGCTAAATAGCTTC